TCAGTAACGCAGGTGATGCAAGGACCACTACTTGGCAACTTAAGTTACATGAATGATAATTAGAATAAGGATAGCAGAAAATGTTTACTTAGCCACTCTGTGTGCCAGGCACTGTGCTAGGCATTTTACATGTATAAGTTAAGAAGTTCTATTACCTGCTTTACAGATGAAGACAAAAGTGAAGTAACTTGCCCGGGTCAACACACACAGCTGGCAAGAGGCACTACCAGGACCCGAACCCAAGTCTGAGAATTCTCACAGCACAGGCTTTCTCAATCTATTCTACACGGCTTCTGAAAGAAACATGAAATTACAAAGAAGCCTATGCCTGGGTGGCACAGTCAGTCAAGGCTCTGACTCTTGGTTCTGGCTCAGGTAGTGATCTCAGGGTCTTTGGGCTCCACGCTCACCCAGTATGCTTCTCTCCCTCTCCTTCTGCCCCTCCCCCCACTCTCACACTCACGTTCTCCCTCAAATAAATAAATCTCCAAAAAAAAAAAAAAAAAAAATTACAGAGAGGACTGTAACTGACATAATCACGGACTATCTGTGATACAAACAACCCCTGATTTATGACTGAGGAAACAGGTTCCTGGGGATAATGTGACCAGCTCTACCTTCAGCACCTGCTTGGGCACAGATCTAGGGCATTCCATCTCCACACAACCAGTTCTAGGTGTGTCCTTACCACACGACTTGACAAAGCTGATCTCACAGGACTTACCTTTACGCTAACCTCTCAGGGTTGGGTGAACACTGCCTCAAAGTATGTTTAAATCACAAAACATTCACCCTAACTTGTGAATTTTAGAATACTTATAAAACTGATTTTTACGGGGTGCCTGGGTGGCTCAGCAGATTAAAGCCTCTGCCTTCGGCTCAGGTCATTATTTCAGGGTTCTGGGAAGGAGCCCCACATCAGGCTCTCTGCTCAGCGGGGAGCCTGCTTGCTCCTCTCTCTCTGCCTGCCTCTCTGCCTACTTGTGATCTCTGTCTGTCAAATAAATAAATAAAATCTTTAAAAAAAAAACAAAACTGATTTTTACAATGAAACTGAAGTATAGAAAATAATGTGTTCAAAGAGGAACACAGAACCACCAGTAAAAAGAAATGAAAAGCAGGTCAAGACCCTCTGGTCAGTAAAATTATTCCTCATCAAAGCAGAACACATTTTACTAGTAGAAATCAATTCTGAAGTGACAGTTAAGCCAATGACAACCCAAATTTTCAAATCCCATTAAACTGGATTCAATGTTCCAAACACAGGTTGCTTTTTTAAAGGACCATTATCTCAAAAGTATTTACCATTAACAATTTCCTCTTCTATAAGTCTCAGTTTTAATATCAGTAAACTGTGATACTGAAAACTAACTCAGGATAAAAGTTGATATAGTAACCCATGCTTCAGGAAACAAAGAACTTGAGTCAACCTTAACATCCTGTCACTGTGTTTCTCCAGCTAGAAGACAACAAAGAGGAAAAGCACCAAACAATGACAGAAATACATAGGCTATAAAAATACATACATAGAGAGGTACGGAGCTAGGTAGGCATATATATATGGGCTATAGATTCCTTCTTTGGATGCTTACTGGTAAGATTATGGAAACATTCACATCTTTAACAGAAAAACACTACTCATTTCAAATTAATTTATGCTTTGCAAGTGCGGGAAATAACAAACCAGAAGTAAGACAATAAACATTCCTCCCTCTTACTCTATTATATGATTACTAAATTCTAAAAGAAACCAATGACAACTCAGCATACCCTACAGCATGGGGTATGGAAAGACGGTCTGGATGCCATACATGGAAACAAAGCCTAAGTTTAAGATGTAGAACTACAGGCCGGTCTTTGTTTTGAAAACTAATTGATAAAACTTTTTCTATCATTTTAATTGCCAAGTTACACCACAGTCCACAAATCTAGTCTGGATCCTTATCTGATGCAAAGAACTGAATCAGCATTTTAGGACTACAGTGCTCCGTGCATTTCATTTACTATCCGTAAGAAATGACAGAAGGGGATCTTCCTTGGACTATACAGGGAATGTCAGGTGTTCCTAGTTTCAACCACTTGCTTTTAAAGCTAAATAGGGTCTAGTTGAGATACCACAGATAAATAAAATCTGACTAAAAAAAAAAATTAAAATCAACTTCTTCCACTCACACATCTTTACCAGAGATGGTTTAAAAAAAAAAGAAAAAAGAAAGAACAAAAGGCTTCCTGAGGAGTTTCACACTCACTTCTTCAAATTCTGGTTAAAAAAAAAAAAAAAATGCATTCAAAACTCAGGCAAGGAGAAACAAGCACTAACGATCACAATCTCAATTCCGCATTATTCCTAGCTTGTACTCACAGAAAGAACCTTTCAGTCTAAAGACCTAAAAAAATTTTTTTTGCCATGAAATAAACATGGTGTACCATTTCTAATCTGAAATGGAAGTCTTGCCTTCCTTAGATATTAAGTTCTATGTAAGAACATACCTTAAAAAAAAAAACAAAAAAAAAACCAAAAAAACTAGGAAACAATAAGGTTCCACAATTTCCAACCGTAACTATGAATGTGTCCCAATGCTCAGACTGGCAAAACAGGGCTTAAAATTATTTATCAGTTAAATTCCTTTCCAGATTAAAACAACACACAATAGGAAATTTATAAATATTGATACCAAACCCCGATCAACTGGCAGTAAGACTATGCAGAACATTTACAATATTTTACTTTTCAGAATGGCAGGTCTCGAGCATTTTTTTTTTTAAGATTTTATTTATTTATTTGACAGAGAGATCACAAGTAGGCAGAGAGGCAGGCAGAGAGAGGGGGGGAAGCAGGCTCCCCACTGAGCAGAGAACCCGATGCGGGGCTGGATCCCAGGACACTGAGACCATGACCTGAGCCAAAGGCAGTGGTTTAATCCACTGAGCCACCCAGGCGCCCCAGGTCTCTAGCATTTTTATGGTTGTACCTATTCCATCAAAAATACAAGGGCAGCTCAAAATATGATCCTACTACATCTGCTATTTCAAAGAGAACAAACCCAAAGAAGTCAGGGTCAGTACTAACAATTCAAAAGTAGACATCCATATTTAGAAGACTGTCAGAGGGGCACCTGGGTGGCTCAGTGGATTAAAGCCTCTGCCTTCGGCTCAGGTCATGAGCCCAGGGTCCTAGGATCAGGCTCTGAGCCCCACATAGGGCTCTCTGGTCAGTGAGGATCCTGCTTCCTCCTCTCCCCTTCTCTCTGCCTGCCTCTCTGCCTACCTGTGATCTCTGTCAAATAAATAAAAAAATCTTAAACAAAAAAAATAAAAGAATGTCAGAAAACCAATTCCTGTTGCTGCCATCAGATATGCCCTCTTCCTTAGTCACATCCAAAGTATTTAAGCTTTCAAAACTAATGTAACTGACACACACTAAAAATCGACCAACTTACTAAAAGATCTATGCCAGTTGATTTTTTTAAATATGTGTGGGAAACTTGGTGACAACTTTTGCTTTATGTCCTGTATATTAAAACGTAGATGGACTTGACCTACAAAATGAAGATAGGGTCAACTGTAACCAAAAAACAGTGTGCTTCCCCTGGTGGCCGACCAAGGAACGGAGAAGGCATGCCTACAAGAGAAAAAAGCCTGGTCTCCCAGTCCTATCCTGTCACTCACGTAAATGAGAAGTCACTACCAAAAAAGGAAGATGTGGGGGAAGGGGAAACTATCAAAAAGACTAACACGAATTTAAAGGGAATACAAACCTGGGTGTTAGACTAAATAAATTTAAGAGTTTTAAATCAACAGACTAAAATTTAGAAGGCAGATACGGGCAAGGTCATTTATTTCCAGAGTGCCCAACAGCTCACTCAGGGCTGCCTGTGTGTTTTCACTTCAAAGATCACCCAGAGTTTCGTACCTTAATAAGAGCTTAAGAGCAACCTCCTTTTTCAAGGACTGGATCCTTACAATTCTCTGCAGTCCTGTTTCCAAGGAAAAGCGTGTGTGCATTTGTTTTCTCAAAGAAACTAGTGGCAGACCCCGCACAGATACCCTCCGGCTCTCAAGCCCTCCAGCCAGAGAGCTGCCAACTCCAGTTCTGCAGGATTCTCTCCGAATTTTATTTCTGAAATAAAACCCACGTCCTTCCAAACGTCTTCTGCGCCAACAGTCTCTAAGAACAGTCTCGCACCGAGACCGGCTAGAACCTCACGCATTAAAATCTGACGAATTCCTTTGTCTGATTAGATTTTTTTCTGGTGCCACTTTAAATTTGCTTCCACGCAGAAGGGCGGCGAGGAAAGTAAAGGCTCCCCTCCAGGGTGGAGGGTTTCTCGGAGGCGGCGTCGGTCCTCCGGACGCCGGCCCTGAGGGCTGTGTTCTCTCAAACCCCCTCCCTCAAGGAAAACAAAACAGAAAAGGCACCACGGACGTTTACAAATAGGTCCCAAAAGCAGACGGCCGCGAGCGAGCCGCAGTTCCCAGGCAGGCGCCCTCGGGGAAGCACGCTTCCTAACCGGCGTGGGGGGTCGCTTTTCCAGTCCCCCGCGGGCCGGACGGGGAGCCCGGGCGGCAGGAGCGCGGGGGGCCGGAGGGGCCACGAAAGGCCGGTGCGGCGAGGTCTGGCGGGCCGGAGGGGCCACGAAAGGCCGGTGCGGCGAGGTCTGGCGGCGAGGTCTCGCCCAGGTCCGCGGCACGCGCAGCACGCTAACTCTCCGGCGCCGCCACCCCGACCCCCGGCCCGCCGGAGCCCCCAGACCAGGGGCGGCCGCGCCGACGCCGCCCGCGCTCCCCCAGGGGCGCAGCGGGCCCGCGGCGGCGACCCGGCCGGGGGCGGCTCGGGCCTCCCTCCCCGGCGCGCCGGCCGACCGCGCTCGGCGTGCTTCCCTCGCGGCGCTCGCCCCGCCGGGCTCCCCGCCGACGGCAGGGCCGACACACACACAAAAAGAAAAGTTGCCCGACGGCCCCCGCCCCCTCGGGTGGCGGGGCCCCGGGCCGCTACTCACCGGGATCGAAGTCGGGCACCACCGCCTGGTACTGGGGTCCGACCCGCATGCCGCCGCCACCTGCGGGGAAGCAGAGCAGGGCGGTCAGCGCGGGCAGGCGGCGCGGGGGCGGCGCGGGGCGGCTGCCACCTACCGTGCTCCTCGTCGCTGGACGAGCCCGAGCTGCCTTCCTCCCAGGAGTTGCTGCTGCTGTTGCCATTGGGCGCCGCCGCCGCCAAACTTTTATTCTGCCCATTACTGGGGGCGGCGGCGGCCGAGGCGGCGGCCGAGGCGGAGGCGGCGGCGGCCGAGGCGGAGGCGGCGGCCGAGGCGGTGGCGGCGGCCGAGGCTGAGGCGGCTGAGGCGGCGGCGGCCGAGGCGGCCGCGCTGGCCGCGTTGTTCCTCCCTCTCCGCTTCCCTGAGACCTCGGGGCCCTTCTCCACCATGGCCGGCATCGGCGGGGGCCGGGGCCGGGCGAGAGCGGCGGGGCCCCGCGGCTCCTGAGGAGGGGGCGCCGGGCCGGGGAGGGGTGGCGGGGGGAGGGAGCGCGGGCGGGCGCGGGGCTGGGCGGGCGCGCTGGAAGCCCGCGGGCGCGAATAGGGGCCGGGGGTGGCCTGGCGGGCGGAGCGCGGTGCCGCTTCAGACCCCGAGCGCCGAGCCGAGCGCAACTTTCGCTCTCATCGCCGCCCGCACTTCACTGGCACTAACTACTCCGGGAGCCGCGAGCGGGCGGGGGGGGGCGGGGCCTGAGGCGAGCCGGGGGGGAAGCCGCGCGCAGCCCAACCCGAAGCGGGCTGGCTCCGCCCCCCGCGGGCTCCCATTGGCTTCTGCGGGATTCGGAGGGCGAGCGGCAACGCGGTTGGCTCGGATCTCCTGTCTGTCCCAGGGACGGGGGCGGGAGCGCGGGGAGGGGGAGGCTCCGGGCTTCCGTTGGTCAGGTTCGGTTGACGCGTATCGCCCGCTGTACGTGGTTTGAGGTTTGCAATCTCTCTACGCCCCATGATCCATCTCTCTAGGCAATAGCGAGGAGTTAGCTGCCCTCCCCGCCCCCTCCCTCGCCGCGGCCCCCCACCCCCCTCACCTGCGCTCGCCCCCCGCAGCCTCTGCCCCTGCATTCCGCGAAAGGCCCCACTGAGAGTCCCGCTGGATTCAGAAAGTAAAATATGCGTGACGCGAGAAGAGAAATGGAATGCGAGGTCGGGACTACTTTCCCCCTCGCGCGGAGGATTACAGCCACAGTTTGAATGGGTTCGATACAAAGAGGGGAAACTAATTGCAAGAAACTAATTGCGCCCCCACCTTTCCCAAGGGGGTGGGGGGTGCCTCGGTGCCGGGGGTCCCCGGTGCAGGGGACAGGGTTCCCAGGTGACCGGCTCCCCTGGAGGGAAAGGAAGCAGTGTGCGGGCTCGGAGGGTCTGTGGAGGCTTCTGCTAATTGGGTGGGGGGCAGTTGGAAGTGGCCGCAATTGCCCGAGTTGCGGGCGCGCCGGGTCCGCTGGGGCCGGAGGGAGGGTCCCGAGCGGTCCCTGCCCGGCGCGGAGTACGGGCGCCGGGGTCCCCTGCCATCCCCGATGGCTGTTTAGGAGCCAGTGAGGGGGCCGAATTGTCCCTGCGGGAGAGGACACTTGCAGAAATGGGGAGGAGGACTTAGAGAAATGGGCTGGGGCCAGGAAGGGTAAAGAGGAAGAAGCTATTTTCATCCCAAGCCCTTGGTAGGGGAGGAGGGTCAACTTCCTCCCAGGCAAGAGCCACTTTTCCGGATCTGCTGCCTGCCCTGCCTCCCCCAGTCCCCACCGGGCACCCGGCGAGGGAGAGCACGACCCAGCCCGAGACCTTCCCGCCTGGAGTGTGGTCACCAGCCGGCTCGGGACTGCTGGACCGCGGGCTGAGGAGTGGGGCGGGGGGGGGGGGGGTAGGGGGGTTGGGAACTCCCCTGGAGGTCCGCATCAGTCCCACCTCCACCAGCCCTCCCCCCAAAACAGCGCGCTGATCCTGCATAATTAGGAGGCAAGAGAAGGTCTATAAATGACTTTTTTTTTTTAATCAACGGATGACTATTTTTCTTTTAAGTTACTTCAAACCTGAGCTTTATAGGGGGGGGGGGGCAGTTTACACCGGCTCTAGCTATAAATAGTTACAGGGAGAAATCTGGAGTTTTATGTTTTTAAAACCTGAATAAATAAGCAGAGTGTTCTCTTCCACATTTTATGCAGCGTGAACCATCATTATGAACTTCAGTGAAGTAACCACATTCACTTCTGCCTAAATGGCCTTTAAGTGACAGGGCTGGGAGCCCTCCCGGTGGAGGACCCCTGCCCCCACCAAGTTCAGGGTCGCATCTTCTGGCCTCCCCTTAAAAAGTTACCCCTCTTGTTGGAGAGCCCCACGCTGTGCAGATGTGTACCCCTGGGAACCCCTCCACCACCACCAGCTGGCCTGGGTAGGCTGCAGACAGCAAAGCCCAGGGTAAGGAAACAGAGTTGGTATTCTGGGGCTTAGCCAGATGCTCACTGGGTGTCTGTGAAATTCCACCACCAGACCCTGGGATGATTAGCCTAGGACAGTGGGAAGGTGCTACAGAGTAATTTTTAGGGCAGCAGGGATGGCATGACACAGGGTCAGGAACACCCACCGAACCCCTAGGTTGGGGCTACTTCCTGACTGGGTTCTGACTGCAGTTACATCATTGGGCTATCCAACCATTCACTTTTTTCAGCAAATATTAACATCTAAGTTACTTCGGCATGTGTGAGGCCCCTTTCTAGTTTGACCCCAAAGCCACATGGATACCATTCTGGCCTTGACCTTCCCAGCTTCCTCATCTGTAAAACACAGACAATAACCACTTCCTGGCCTAGTGAATTTTTATAGTCCATCTCCCCAGCCGGAATCTTCACCCACCATAGGGAACCCTTCAACCTTAGCAAAATCCCCCCTCTTCCACCTCCTTTTGCTTGGGACAGGGGAGGGCTGCTGGGGTGTTCACACACAACACTTCCGATTGGGAATCTGTGACCTCAGACTTCAAACAGGCTCTCCGCAGAGTCAGCAGCCCTTCCATGTTTTCCAGTGACACTCTCTCCCACTCTGAGACTAAGATATCCCACCTTCTCTCCTTTCCTCACACCTCCCACAGTCCCTTCTGCCCTCACTCCCAGCCAACGACCTTGGGTGACCTTCTCATTCTTGGGTGAGAAAAGCTGAAGCCATCAAACGGGATCTCCCTGAACTCCCAGGCCCTGTAGGGACACATGCCCCAGGCTGGCACCCACTCCCCTCCCCTTCAGGCTCTCCCACGCCGATCTTGATCTCAGGCACCTGCCTCCCACTGCCCTCCCCTGGCTGGTCTCCTGTGCCATCAACCTCTCTCTTTCCCCTGGGTCAGCATTTTCCAAAGAAAGAAAACTCTCCCTTGCTCCCAAGCCCCCTCCACCTTCTCTCTCTCTCTCTACTCCCCACAGAAACCTGCAAAGATGTATCTATACCTGCCTTCTCCACTCCCTTCCTTCCTTCCTAGTCTTTCCTCATGCCACCTTAGCAAGGCTGTGTCCCCACTCCTAATTCTTGCTAAGGTCATCCACAACCTCCAGGCATCCCAATCCAGTGGCCAGTTAATAGCTTCACTTCGCTTCTCCGCAGCACCTGAGGCCACCACTCCGCCTTCTGGAAACTCCCTGAGGTTTCTAGACCTCAGGATGCCCGGTTCTCCTACCTCACAGACCACTCCTTCCCTGTCCCATTTACAGCCTCCATCCCGCTCCCTTCAACCCAGTGCATAGTAGGTGCTCACTAAGTAATTGTTGCCTGAGAGCTGCCTGGTAGAGGACACAGGCTGGGAGCCAATTCCAGGGAGGGGAGGATTGCTGAAACAAGCAAGGTCTGACCAAGACTTGATCCATGCCCTGCAAGAGGGGGAAATCTTTTTTTTTTTAATTAATTAATTTATTTTTTTAAATAAACATATAACGTATTTTTATCCCCAGGGGTACAGGTCTGTGAATCACCAGGTTTACACATTTCACAGCACTCACCATAGCACATACCTTCCCCAATGTCTATATCCCCACCACCCTCCCCCATCCCCCCTCCCCCCAGCAACCCTCAGTCTGTTTTTTGAGATTGAGTCTTTTATGGTTTGTCTCCCTCCCAATGCCATCTTCTTTCACTTTTTCTTTTCCTACCCCCAACCCCCCCACACACATTGCATCTCCACTTCCTCTTATCAGGGAGATCATATGATAGTTGTCTTTCTCCGATTGACTTATTTCGCTAAGCATAATACCTTCTAGTTCCATCCACGTCGTTGCAAATGGCAAGATTCCATTTCTTTTGATGGCTGCATAGTATTCCATTGTGTATATATACCACATCATCTTTATCTATTCATCTGTTGATGGACATCTAGGCTCTTTACATAGTTTGGCTATTGTAGACATTGCTGCTATAAACATTAGGGTGCACATGCCCCTTCAGAGCACCACGTTTGTATCTTTAGAATATATACCCAGTAGTGCAATCACTGGATCATAGGGTAGCTCTATTTTCAGTTTTTTGAGGAACCTCCACACTGTTTTCCAGAGTGGTTGCACCAGCTTACATTCCCACCAACAGTGTCGGAGGGTTCAAGAGGGGGAAATCTTTGAATTTCGTTAGCCCAGCATCATCCCAGAAGAAGCCCCACCCCACCATCCTCCAGGAGTTTGGCTTTGGGCCTGACAAGCAAGTGACCTGCCTGGCTAATCAGAGCCCCCAGGCCCCTGGCAGAAGTGACTGGCTCAAGCATTGGCACATGACCTAGCCAGGTCAATCAAGGCCCTTTCTGGAACTTTTTGGGAAGCTTTTAGGAAAGAGTCTCTCTCTGAGGACCAGGAACGCCTGGAGCCTCCAGGGCAGGGCCAGGCACCTGGGGCTTGTGCTCAGGCTCCATGTGGTCTGTTCCATGGTCCAAGCACCTGAGAGAGGGGTCCTCACTTGTCCAGGCCCTGTTCAAGGGAGCACCCCCACCCGACCAGCCTGCAGAAAGAGGAGGGCTGAGGCCTGATGGGATGTTGGTAATTTTCCTCCTCTCCACACCCTATAAACAGGCCTGAAATCCTGGCCTTTTGAATGGATCAATTTGAGTTTCTGTTAGAACGCAAAGACTCCCGGGTAGCCTGGGTGGCTCAGTTGGTTAAGCGGTTAAGTGTCTGCTTTCGGCTCAGGTTATGATCCCGGGGTCCTAGGATTCAGCCCCTGAAGCGGGCTCCCTGCTCAGTGGGGAGTCTGCTTGTCCCTCTCCTCTTGCTCCTGCCCACAGCTCGCGTGCTCTCTCTCTCTCAAATAAATGAAATCTTAAAAAGAACTCAAAGGGGATGCCTGGATGGCTCAGTGGGTTAAGCCCCTTGCCTTTGGCTTGGGTCATGGTCTCAGAGTCCTGGGATTGAGCCCCACATTGGGCTCTCTGCTCAGCAGGGAGCCTGCTTCCCCCTCTCTCTCTCTGCCTGCTTGTGATCTGTCAAATAAATAAA